GACCATAGCCTCGCCCCCCCCCCCCAAAAAAGAGAGAAAGAGATTATTCCTATCGGATCTGATAGCTCTTGATTTGCAAACAGTATATGAAGTGGTAATCATGTGACAACAGAGTGTTTTATTCCAGTAAAACTGCCTCCAGCTCCCCACTCTCCAGCAGCCCAGGAGAAGCCCTCATTGCCTTGACTCCTGTTTCTGACCTTGTTCTGCAGACGCTCCAACCCACTTCCTTCCCCTCGGTTGCAGACAAGTGTTTGCACACATCCCTTCATGCTGCTTCTCTTGCCCCAGGACCTAGTTCCCCTAAAACAAGGACTATGATTTGATCGCCTGCCTGTCCTGTCCTTGGTCTGCAAAGTCACAGGCCAGTGGGAATGGCTGTCCTCCTCAGCACGTGCTCATGACTGCTGTGTGTTGTCCTCCTGTCTGTGTGGTCCTGTCTTCTCTCCATCCCAGTCTCTTGTGCTTTGCTGGTTTTTTCCCATCGGTACCATGAGGGATGGTGGAGGGGCTCTGTTGAAAGGCAGGGAAACTAGGACTAGTTCTTGTGTGGGGGTCTGCGTCACACAAATTTTGCTTCTGGCAAGGACAACAGGCTTAAATTGTTGTGTTTTTAAAATTTGTTGCTGCACTTGGAGCAATACAAGCCGTGTGTAGTTAATAGGGAATTGAGAAGGAGTCTAGTTCCAAACAGGCACCACCAGACCATGTGAACCAGGAAAATGTTTAATTGCTCATTGACAAAAAAAAAAAAAAAAAAAAAATCATGAACAAACAAAACTACATTCCTACTGATTTGGTCAATGTTACTAGCACAGAGCTATTAACAATCCCAACGTTGGCTCGGAGCTGGTATCGGTTTCATTTCTCAAATACCAAGAGGAAACTGAAACATGTGGAGTGTCCTCTTTCAGACCACTCTGCCTAAACAGACATGATGGTGCTACCTGTCCTACTGGACAGTTCTCAAAAGAAGGTATTCAAGAGGTGGTTACCCACGCAGAAGCATCTTCTAAAATAATTGGCCACAGCTTCCATATCACAGCTATTTCCTACCTCACTGCATCCCAGGAACAGGGACTTGCTAATGAACGAATTCTCTGGTTGTCCGAATAGAGAGCCATCTCCTTCCCGTGGACAGAGGAGCCAGGAAGAATGTAGGTAGATGGAATCCAGTTAATTCCCATACTCGTTTCCGTGTTTTACCCCCTTCACTGCCAGAGGGCCCCTCTCCTCCTCCGAAAATAAAGTTTTAGTTAGAAGACAAGTAGCTAGGTTAAACTGTTCAAATTTGATAGCCCTCTTCTTCCTTTATACATTTGTGAATGGAGGGGCTAAAAAAAGTAGAGAAAAACCCTAAAGCTAAAGGCAGAAGTTGCCAAGATCAGAAGTGAGGAACCTTGACCTCTGGATTCAGGGCTCTACAGACATGTTTTGCACATAAGATCTGAACTAAGAGAAAGAAAATACTTTTTGCAGTATATCTACCCAAGAGGGTCTATATCTGATTTTATGTGTTTAAATGTAGATCAAGTGACACACTTGTTTCCTTGTTCAGATCACATCACTCTTGCAAATGGCTTACCATATACTGCTTAAAATTAGGATTGCCAGGATAGAGCCAGGTGCAAGTGCCTGGTGAAGTGTTTATAGGAGTGCAGTCGACCCTTGAACAACAACAGGCTTGAACAGTGTGGGTCCACTTATGTGCGGATTTTTTCCTCAACAATACAGTAGGGTTCTACAAGTGTATTTTCCTTATGATTTAGTGGTCGGGGTATGTAGTGACGCTGTCGACAGACCGCGTGCAAAGACCTCCCCTTGTCGAGGTTGCCACAGCTGTCATTTTGTTCCTCCTCCAAATGGCATGTGTGGGAATTTAGATTTAATGGGATGAAATGATTGATCCATTTGGCTTTCTTAGAGGAAAAAAAATCCCCATTCTTTTAAGAGGAGGCATTTATTCAATCTAACTTTCTTCAAACCCCTGTAAAAACTGTCCAGAGTTTGTACATGTAATCAGATACCAGCAGCTGAGTTGACAAGTGTTATCGTTGATGTAATAATTATTTACTAGAAGTCTTCCTTTGATGGTCTTTCAAATTCCACCAGGTAATCAGTTACCTATTCTACATTGGCTCTGGCAGATGCATGCCCCGGAACCTCCAGGATAGTTTTTGGTTTTTAATATTCTCAGTGCACTTGTCAGAATTTTCACCCTTATTTTTTGCTCAAAAGGACGGTTATGCCACAGAGGAGGAAAGGCCCATGCTGGAGAGCCCTCCCTAGTCTGCTCTTTGGCATCAACACCCCCACCCCCTTGGTGCCTCCAACACCATTTGCTTCCCCCCACTGAAGGGAAGGCAGGTAAAGCCAGTCACAGCTGCCTCCCGCATGTCTGGCATCACTTGAAGGAAGATTTGCCCTGAGACATAGTCCAAAAATACAGTCAACCACTGTGAAGTGTAGGCAGGCCCAGAGTGACGATGTGCTGGAAGGTGACCCAGCAGGGCTGCAAGCCTCACAACAACTCTCGTCCTGAAGCCCCACCCAGTCTTTCAGGAGCACCGAAGTTCATTCTGCTTCTGTGTTTAAAGAGAAAACAACAACAAAAAATTGGCCAAAAGGGGGAAAGAGAAGAAAATTCACCTAACCTGGATGATTAAAAGAAAAAAAAAAACGTCACATACCAGAGAGGAAGGGAGTCAGGGGCCCCAGTGACTGCCACAGTGAGACACCAGCTGTGTGGCTAGCCCCCGGAGCAGCTGGGCCGTGGCAGCTGCAAGCCACGGGAAGGCACACTCCTATGGCCCTAATGTGGCAAGGACTGCAGACTTCCAGGCCTGTAGCCGACAGGACCACGGAGATGCAGGGCTTTGGCGTTCCGAAGACAGCGGGGCGCTTCTGTCTGCAGCTGTGCTCCAAGTAGCCCTGTCGACCGCCCGCCCTGCACATCTAGAACCTCACGCCTTGGGGTCTAAGTAGAGTGGCAGGTCGCCACTCACAGGCCTGCTGTCTAGAGGGCCGAGCCCCGGGGCGTGATGGTCCCCAGCACGTACTGACAGCCCTGACAGACACAACACCTGACTGTGCCCAGCTCTTCCTAGTCATCTCACACCCTCCTCTCACCTTTCTAGACCAGAACCACTGCCATTCCTGTGTATTCACTCAAATATCAGGAGGTGAGGATAAAATTGGCCCAAACGGAGAAAAGCAGAGTTACTCCCCACCCTTGAGCAGCCCTCAGAGCACCAGGGACAGAGGAGGAGACAGGCCTGAGTGGAGTGAATGGGATTAGCTGGTGTCTGCGGGGTTGTCTAATTAGGACGACACACTGGCTCCAGGCTCTTTAACAGCATTGATTTGAATGACCAAAAAAAAAAAAAAAAATTAGAGAATAGACTCCCTCACAGTAAGGAACTCAAAGCCGAGTCCACAGGATCTCTGCCGGCCGGCCCCTTGTTAGCCAGGTTGGTATTTGCTAGATCAGCCCGCAGGAGCTCTGTCCTCCGGCTGCTCCTTGCCGCCTGACGCGGCATTTGTACTCAGAGGGCCGGCCCTGGCACCTTGTGCCACTCTTCCAATTCACATCTCCTCTCCAGTCCCTTTAGCCTAAGAGCTGAAGTTATGAGAGTAACAAGCGTGCTGAGAGTAAATAGAAGCCTCCCCCTGTGCCGTCTCCTCTGGATGGCACGCGAGAACACTGGGGGGGTGGGGGCGCTTCTGGCACTGGGTTCCTCGGTATGATTCCTAAGCATCTTTATCTGGACCTCCATCCCCATTATACTTCTTGCCAGTTTGGGGTTTTAGTCATCTTCCGCTATTTTAATGGCCCTCATCAATAGCTGTAATCCATTCAAGAGTTTCATTAATGTTTTCAGTGAGTTCTTCCCAGAAACAGATCTTTTTTAAATGTTTTAATCATAAAGGCAATTATGATGTCACCTCTTCCATTTCCTGAGTTCATGTGAGAGTTAACACTCTATAAAAGTGTTGCTTGTTTTGACTCCGTACTCAGGGAAAATGTGGCACGGTCAGCAATCATAACAGAGCGAAAGAGCAGCCAGGATACAAGGGAAAAAAATATCAAAGCGTGCTGGCCCACGTCCAGTTCACATCCCTTAATAGCCAAGCTCCAGCTTAGAGACACGGCCCTCACGTCAGGCAGCTGGAAAACACTCTTCCGTGGGCGGAGACCCCCACGAAACGGGCTCTGCTGAGTGTGTGCACACGTGTCCGCGTGCCGCTGAGGCTGGCCCGGTCCTGCGTGGCGCCTCTGGGTTCTTGGCTGTGAGGGGAAGGACCTCCCACTCCCCTGCGCCCTCGTGCCTAAGCAGCCCGACGACTCTCCAGCTGCCTGGGGACAGAGCTGGCTGCCGGAGCCATCCCCCGGCTCCTCAGCCCAGGAAGGGGACTCAAGTGCACCAAGGTCACGGGCCTGTGTGGCTGACGGCCCTCGTTTCAGAGACAGCCGTACTTGCCAGTAGCACCGTGCATGGCGTCAAGGTGTCCGGTCTGACTGTAGTGCCTGTGTGAAGTCTGCTCACCAGCCTGAGGGAGCGACGGTGCCATCGCGCAGGGGGCCGGGGGGGGGGGGGGCGTTGTCGTACGTTCACCATTACGATGACGTGTCACTTCATCGTTCTGTTGTGAATTTCCCGTTGGTTTGATCGGTGTGCTGGCTGCATGCACTTGCTGTTGTACTTGTGTCAAATGATTCTCTAACTTCCTTCGGAAAGCACTAATGAAAAGTGCTATTTCTCTTCTCTATTGTTGGGTTTTTTGTAAAGTTGCTCAAATGCTCTCAGGTATGGCGGCTCTGAATGGAGGACTTGGCGCCACGGGCTTGACGAATGGCACGGCGGGCACCATGGACGCCCTCACCCAGGCCTACTCAGGGATCCAGCAGTACGCGGCGGCCGCCCTGCCCACTCTGTACAGCCAGAGCCTGCTGCAGCAGCAGAGCGCCGCAGGCAGCCAGAAGGAAGGTACGTGGGCCCGGCCGGCCGCCAGGGCGCGGCTTCCGGAAACTAGGCGCGGCCGGCGCCCGGGGGGACGCGGCTCTTCGCTCTCGGCTCTCCGGGGGGATTTTTTTTATTCTTTTTTTCCCTTTTAAGAAACCCAACAGGAGTCTGAATCCTGTCCTCTTCAGACTCCTGTCCTGCTACCTTAGGTCCTCACCCGCAGTTCTCGGCCACCACGAGCCCAGCCGCAGTGACCGGTAGCTCCTGTCCTCAAAAGCCTGGCGGGACACCCTCTCCTGAGTGGGCGGGGACCACCTGTCCCTCCCCCTAGCACCAGCTCCCCGAGGGAGCCCAAGGGCTCGGCCGGTGCTCTTGGGGCTACGTCCCCCGCCCTGAGGCTGGTTAGCTGGCCTCCCGGGGCCCGGGCTCCAGGGTCCGGATGACACCCACCCCACAGTGAATCGGGGTACGTGACTGGCTCTGCCAGGGAGGCAAAATGAGTATCAGGAAGCTACTGCTGAGACTAAATCCAAGCTAATTAGAAAACAGTTAACGAACTAGTCCAAAGAGGGAGAGTTTGTCCTTTCCTTTCTTCCTTCTGCCCTATTCCTCCTTAGTAGGAATCGCTTGAAAGCAAACCCTGCAACATATTTATTCTCTTCCTGACTGGTCAGAGTAGGGGGGGCCAGAGGCTCGACCAGGGAAGTACTGCTGGAGACGTTTTTTAAAAATCTCTTTCCCTCCTCCTTTATCCTCACCCTACATTTCCAAACTGTTCTTGTCGGCATCCTTTGACTTTAAATACGATGTTGTATAATAGAGTATTTTTACTTTGCAAAGTTTCTACTTTACAGAGGATAGAGCTTTGAAGATACTCTTGTACAGGAAAATACTTTTTTCCATTTATAGAAAAAAGATCATTAAACATGAGAGCTATATGAAAAAAAACTTTTTTTTTTTCATTATTTCATTCTCAGCTGTGACTGATAGTATAGATTTTTAAAAAACCTGCACAGCTGTTTGGGCAACCGTGCTTCCCTAGGCATGTGGAGAGCCGACGTCATAAATACCATGATTTCCCAAAGAAAAACCTGCATTGAGGTCCCTTTGTCGGGGGTCTGACTACCGTGGTGACCGTGGGAGGCGGCGTCTGGGAGATAATGGTGTTCTCAGGAGAGAACATGAAAGCCAGTTCCCTGCACGATTTTTAAAGAATGTTGGCTACTTCTCCGTTGTCCAGCAGGGCCTCGGAGCGAGCGACGTGACCTGTGTCGCTGAGAAACACCAGTCACCAGTGGACTCAGCATGCAGTGATGCAAGGATGAAGTGCGGGCCCTGCAACAATTTTTCTCTGTTGCTTTACCGCAGCCCACTGTCCCCAATTCCATGCCTTGACTTTTCGGGATCGCCGGTATGGTAGCTAACCCTCTGGGATTAACGTGAAAAATGGCTGCCAACCCCAGGCCATTGGTCTTTAGGTATTGGGGCTACCAGTAGAATGGCTTAGTGTCGGATTCTTTTTGTGTTGGTGGCGGTATTTTTGGTTCGTTTAGCATTTTTAATCATCTCCCACCTTACCTTCTCATACCTTTCTTCTGCTCACCTTCTTTTCGCCCAGCTGATGTGTGCTCAAGAAATTTAATTTTCAAAGCCGGTTATACTGGGAAGGAAAAAAAAAACCTGATGACTTTCACTACCAAGTACATTTTTAGATTTTTCTGCTCTACGGTTTTGTCCTTTAGTTAAGAGCTGAAAAGTCAAGTTGATGCATTTAGTCATGTACCCTCGTACATATTTTCCCACAGGAAAACAAGCAGGGCTAGCTTTGTTTTTCGTTGTTGTTTTTTAAAGTGGCTTTGATGTTTTCCCCAGCTAAATCTTCTGAAGGGTTATGGCATCCCCCTCGACCTAAATCCAGGAAAGCTGACCACCTTTCCTGTCACTCCTAAATACCTTCTGACCCCTGTCATCCCTTCCCAGCCTCCTTGATTTATTTGCAGGGGGCCGTCATGCACACACAAGTAGGTAGAGCCTTGGGAAGCCTAACAAGAAGCTGGTAGGTGCTGGCAGCTAGCACCGATACCCCGGTGCTCTATGTCAGACCCAGTGCCCTATGAGAAATACCAATTGTGAACACCCAGCCAACTGGGACCAACACTACAACAGAGAACTCTAGTAAGTTACATTAACATGTCCTGGGAGAAATGTGAGGAACGAATGATACGTCAGCAGGTTTTTACTAGAGGAAAGAGTGAGGTGAACACATAGGTGGGACCCTCAGAAACGTGTTTTTATGTCTCTACCCTCGGTATCTATGGCAGCAGCCACCCTCACGGGGAGGTTTTCCACATTGAGTCACCTTTTTCTCATTTTAGCATTCATACTTTGCAAACTCAAACTATTTCTGGGTAATGAAAAAACTTGGGGGGGTGACATCTACACTAGGAGATGCTGGTGGCACTTCTACCTGAGAAAATAGTGAATAAAGGACAAAGCCACCTCAGATTTACCTTTTTCATATTTCCTGGGTCCGCAAGGGTGGCACAGATGCAGTCGGAATGCACAGGGTTCTAGAATGCCAGGGCTGTCCAGGCACAGCCCGTAATCTGACAGTGTGCGTTAAATTCCATTTCCTCCCCAGGCCTCAGGAGTTGAGATGACTTCACAGTTCAAAGTGGGCCCCATAAATCCTCCTGTGTACATCTGGACCATTTATGAAAGCTGGGTGGTGCCAGATCTACCCAGTACACACATGGCAGAGCCATGCATGGCATAGCAGCACTCAGAACATCCATGCCCAGTGTCTTGGTTTTGCACCTATTTGTGTTAAGTTTTGATTTTTTTAAGAATTTTTTTTAACCGGGAAACATTTGGGGACCTAAGCCCTGCATCTGTATTCCTTGAATCACAGACTGCCTCCTTTGCACTGGAATGTGGATATGTCCATGGGAATGGTGAGCAACATAGAAAGTTAAAGTGGTCATGGTGACAAAGAAATGCTTCGTCTCTGTGGCTTCAGAAATTTGCCTCCAGAAGACTTCCTTGTGAAAAGTCCCACACGTTAGAACACTATTCGGTTTGACTCTTCTTTACAAAGATGTTTGTAAAGAAATACTCTTTTATTACAAAGTGATTTTTACCCCAGTTTTACTTTTCTTAGACCCAAATAGTCACCACCCTCCCTATCCTCCCCCGACCTGCGCAGGAACCCACTGCAACGGCTCCCCTGGGGCATCCCAGTGAGGCAGGTGCTTCCACTGGATGCCAGTTCCAGGGGGCAGCTGCTAAGGTTGCTTCACCAGTTTTGTGAGGATACACATGTGCCCCCTCCCAGACAGCAGGCCCAGAACTTAGAACATCCCTGAGGCATCCAGCCCTCAAGCCTCTCTGGAACCAGCTGGGGGAAGTTCTGTAATTACCCAGACAGACCTGGACCTGGAAAGCATCCTTGCCTGTTATAAATTGGGTGATTACCTCCCATCAGGTCATTCAGATCTCTTCCTTTTCACCTTCAGATGGCTCTTAGGCAGGTGGCTAGAGAGACAGGGAGAATGAAATGGGAAGCCATAGAGGAGAGCTTACTTCTCTCACGAGTGTAGCTAGAGGACCTCCCCTGCTCTCCCCTTGCCACTTGTTTCTCTGGAACGTGACAGCTGAGAGTACAGAGCGTGGCCAGGCTTGATCTATCACTAGCTCCTGCACCTCGTGCATTCATTTTTGAGGCTAGTCCCCAGTGAGACAGTCCCTAGCACAGCTGGGAAACTCTAGCTACCTATTTTTCCCTGCCTTGACTCACTGCCAGTCATCTCTAAATAAAAATGATTATTAGACTGTGTGTTAAGAGATTTGGCAAATCAAAACTGGATGGATAATTAGGTAAATGATTGAGAAATCCAAGCAACATTACTGCTATATCCATTATTCTAAATTGCTGCAATTTGCTTAGAATACTCAGGACACTCTCGACTCCAAGAGATCGTATATACGTACAACAAAACACAGCCCCCCAGGAAAATCCCACACCTGCACTCTCCTCCCCACCTCCACCCCATGGGGGCCTCCCTCGTCCCCATGAAGAGGAAACTGAAAATATGTTACAGTTAGCAAATGTGAGCCACAGAAGACGATCAGTGAAAAGAAAGCTATTCCTGACCAGTGTCTCTTTGGAAATCAGGAACATCTGAAGGACAATTCCTGTCTTGAAAGACCTACGAGAACTTGACATTTATCCATCTATTCCATTCCCTTCTGGTATGAAAGAGGCAGGCCAATGCGTAGCCTATCTGTTGTTAAAGCTTTCCTAAGAAGAGGCCTGGAGAACTAAGAGGCGAAGAATACCTTACTCTGATTTTTTTTTCCTCTTTAGGTCCAGAGGGTGCAAACCTCTTTATTTACCACCTTCCACAGGAGTTTGGAGACCAGGACATTCTGCAGATGTTCATGCCTTTTGGAAATGTTATCTCTGCTAAAGTCTTCATTGACAAACAGACCAATCTGAGCAAGTGCTTTGGTATGCAAAAGAAACCAAGCCAGAATCTTACAGTACATTCCCAAGGGAGGAGTCATGGGAAGGAAAATGTGAATGGCAAATATCTGAGAAGTCCAGATAGGGCCTTCCCTGGGTGGTGCTGTTCCCTGGTATTCTGAATCCATGTAAGCAGACTGCGCAGAGTCATTTAATCAAACACAGAAGAAGGAGCTATATAAAAAGGAAGGACCTGGGAAATTAAACTAAATGCTTACACGTTAGGTAGTGTCGTATACTGTGCTGCTGCGGTGTCTTACTACATATATCTAAATAATCTTTCACGACAGAGCAGCAGCAGTTTCTCTAAGCCCCGTAAGTTGGAACCACAAGCTTGAGCAGATGGAAATATGATTAACAGACTATAGCGTAGTTTAGGCTGTCGTGGTACAAAATGGCATCGCAGCCACTTTGCCACAAATTCCATAGCCTTCTAGGTTCGGTGGGATTTGGGCGTTGTGGATATGAGTAGCACGTTGTACGGGGAGGCCTCATACATCCCCACAGACACGCGGCTTCACAGTTAGGGATGTGGCCAGGCGGCCCACCACTCTGCAGCTCCGCAAGCGCAGGGATGGGTACCTGGGATGTCAGAACATTATTTCAACATAATGCATGAAATGCTGCATTATGCTGATGTTCAGAAGCCAGAATTGGGGATGATAGACTCTGCAGGGCCTGCCTGGATGGCTGTCGAGCCCAGGAGATGCAGCTATTCAGAGAGAACGCTGGAAAACCCAGGTCCTCGGCGGCTGTGCAGTCATGCCCTCCTTCCTCAGGCAGCCCTGACTCTGTTCTGGGAGCAGCTTGTCTCCCTGAGGGAGTAAGGCGTGCTACTTGCCCTAATGTTTTATAAACGGGAGCATAGCATCCATTACTTTTCAAGCCCTGTTGGTCCTCCAAGTGGTTTAGAAGCTAGAATGTTCACCATATGTGTTACTTGCTTGGCAAGTTCTGGCCCAGTTTGAGACTGAACCTCTGCCTTCACCATTCCTGCAGTCTACTATTCACAGAGGCAGTAGGCAGTAGTAATAAGCACAAGACAAAGACCCGGACCAGAGGAAAGGCAAAGAGAACTATATGGTATGAAGAAAAACATCAGAGGCAGTAGGAGTGGTACTCAAACGTAGTATTTGGCCCACTGGTCATGCGCAGCTGGTCTAAAGAGAGTGTTTTGGCTTCCAAAACCCCATTATCGTAACGTCTCTCTAATCTCTGTGCTATCACCCAGGAAGATCTAAAGCCTCTGTTGGTAGGGGAATTAGTATGTCAACCATTGAAAGTCACTGTTTTTACCCAAGTGGAAAGGCTGTCAGCCCGAACCCATTACACAATCGCTGCTGCTATGACAAGTACATAAACCCCCTCGTGATGGTTCACCAACGGGTGAAATGGAAAGTGAGTTGTTCTATATAGGGTGTGTGTGCTTCAATAGGCACTTAGAGCTGGGAGCTTCCCTGCCCCAGGTTTTAAGCCAGGCTTTTATACTCCTCATCACTAAACAATGCCCTGGGCTTATTTGGAGATTGGAAAGGAATTGTGCTTCAAGGTCTGATTTTGAGAAAATACTTATTGCCTTGAAAAGAGATTCTATATTGGCCCACATAGACTATTTAACCAAGGTGTGATAATGCAGGCTGTACCTGTGAATGTCAGCAGACAATTCTATTTAGCACTGTGTACTGTTTCCAATTTTTATCAAAAGCCGCAGCATCCCATACATACCTGTTTTTCAGCTGGCCTCATTTGGGGGAGTCCTAGACTTGCTCGACATAGGTAGCCCATTCTTTCATGCTAACTTCTTGGCCAGGTTTCGTGATCCATTTCACCCTCGAGCCATTTCCATTCTTTAATCATCTTGCTGCTTCTAGATAAAGACCCAGAAGGAAAGGAGAAAATCAGAGCCTAAGTCTCGGATTCAAGAGCACATAGACTGGGAATTAGATTTAGTAAAAATCTGTACGACCATTTCACAATACAGCCTGCCTAGGAAAAGCTTTTCTGCCTTATACCATATGCTCATTTTTATCAGCTGAGAACTCTGCTAATGGTATATTTATGTCCTTTTCTTCCTCCTCTATAGCTTGTAGAGGAATTTTCTCTTTAGCTTTAGACTTCAATAGCAAGTAGATAGTTGAAGGAGCTTAGTATATATAGCACCTTCTGAACAGCTGATTTTGAGAACTAAAATTCACCCTGTATAATAGCTTCCTTTCTACACCAGAAGTAGGGACGGTACAAACTCAACACCTTTACATCAGCATTACCTAAAGAAGGCTTTGCATGTACTCTCCCACCTCCACCAGCATTAGAACAAACTATGTGATCGGACTTTGCAGAGCACCACTGGCTCTTTCAACAGCATGCCCTCCGTGCCATTTTGGTTGTGAGAGTTAGTACAGAGAAAGATCCTGGGAAGTCCACTAGGATGACTCTTAAGGCCTAAGCTATGCAGACTCTTTCTTCTTAGGGGGTATACAGTAGCAATTTCCAGTCTGTTGAATGCAATGGAGCTTGGGAGGTGGAAGTTGAGATATTAAGGAGAAGGGGCCAGTATTTCCCTTGGGTCCCTAGACTAGAAATAACTCCAAAATGGTAAAAAACCAAGTACAGAGTATTCTAGAGGTAATTCACTAACTGACCCCATCCAACAGTTGAACAGGGTGCGCTATGTGGCTACAGATGGAGCATTGGAAGGAAAGCCACAGTCTTTGCAGTGTACCATTCCCAGCCCTACCTTTAAACCTCACTTGGTTGGGATAGGTGAGCCTCTGGGGGCCCTTTGACCCCAGAGTATTTATACCTCTGCCCATGAGCACCGCCTACTTTGGCACCAGGGGTTCTCTTAGGATTGGTTCGAAGGGGCCTTAAACACAAACAGACTTGGCTGAAATCAGCAAACAGGCCAGGAGTCTGAGATTGAGCTTCTCACGGAGGACGGGTCTTGTGGTCAGGATAGCAGATTCCCAGGCCCACCAGCCTTCTTCACTGCCTGTCAGTGGATATGCCCG